ACCTATTCTTTTGCTGGCCTTGAGACTGAGGGCATATATTGCATCCCATACGTGAAGCCATTCTAATCAGCCTTCAACTATTTTGAAGATAATCACAGTAAATTAAATAAAAGGTACTCAAAAGAGGTCTAGTAGAATTATTCAGTTACATAGATTAGCAATAAAGCTTTATATAAGTAAAAATTTTTACACACATAAGATAGTGTTAGAATCCTCAGGAGGAAATCTTGAAATGCCTCCAGTTTTACTGAATATTTGTTGATCAGGCCACTGTCATTAAGTTTGAAGCAGCATGAATATGTATGGATGAACACAAGATCCATGACATGAGATGACTTAAAGTAGATGACTTATGTGTGTATAGTGTGTATGTGTGTAGTAAATTATTCATTTATATTATCACACTGAGATTAGGGTGCTTGTGCTCTGTGTGCCATGATTGACCTAAAAGAGCCTTGTCTCATAAAGTTCACAACAGAAATACGTATGAAAAACTTCAGTGAATGAAAAATAAATAAAAGCAGTACTTTTGTCAAAAACAAACAAAAAAACCAAACAAACAAAAAAAACCCACAAGGCATATAGCACTGGAAACACTAAGATCAGTGTTCCTGAATGATTAGACACAGCATCCTACTGACCAGTGCCTGATGTCTCCAAAGACCAGACTATAGGAAATACACTAAAAGAGTGAAGAGGATTGAATGGCTCTTACTTCTGGTGCTAGGGCACTATACCATTAACCTGCTAAGTGTGGGAGGAAGCAGGTTCCAGAGAACTGCTATTTTCTTTCACCTGTCCTCAGCCTCTTTTTTTCCTTATACGTACAGGCATGGGCAGAAGTAGGAGGAAATAGGAACTGATCAAGCTCTGTTTTTATTCTTGCAGCACAACCATTGGTGTAACACCTTGGGATCTGCATCTTCATATCAATGGGGAAAGATTTCCACCACCTTCTGTAGGAGTGGGACAAAGTGCTGTGCTCCACACTTTGAGCCAGTTTTCTAACCAACAGTGACTTAGATCCTTCATAAAACTTATTCTTCTCTCATTGAATCAAAAGATGTTTTTCCACTAATTTTAATGAATGCAGAATCTATCCCAAGAACAGGTAGAAGCTAGACAGGATTAAGGGATTTATGTTTTTAACATTTTGAGTGTAAAAGTAATGTTTGAGTTGTCATTCCTAAGGAATAAAGACATTGATGGCTACATTAGCTGGGTGGAAAATTGATATATAAAATTATGTCTCCTTTGGCCCTCACACCAATAATTGTGAGACTAGGCAGCCTAAGATTATGAAAACAGTCACATTTTTTCTCTTAGCTCACTTAGAAGATATTTTCATCAGCTTCTTATACAACTGCTTACATGACGTTTTAGAATTTTTTCTCCATAAATATTCAGGTATAGAGTTTAGCATTTAGGTTAACATTCAGACATGAAAAGTTTGATTGCCTGAAGCTGAAAAAGAAGGGTCACCAACATGCTCCTTTTTTGTAGTGTTTCTTGTGCTTATAATGCTCAGATTATACATTTTGTAAATATTTAGTGCTTTAGGGTTGTTGGAGGTTTTTTTGCTTGTTTTTTATTGTCTTTGGTTTTGGGTGTCTTTTTTTTTCTTTTTTTTTTTTTTTTTTTTTTTTTTTCTTTTTTGGAAAAGAGAGAGCACTTGTCCAATTATTGCTGTGGTCAGGGGAAAAACACACAAATAACTAAAATTTGCTTACTTAGCTAATGTGTTTACACGGGAAAGGTTATGAGCATCTTGAATGCTAGTCATGATGCAGGACTATATGTAGTTTGGGCCAATTATTCAGAAAAGTCTTCTAAAATTGCAGCTGTAATCTCTGATTTTGTTCTTGCAAGTATTCAAGCTTGTGTTGACAAACTACTCTGGAACATTGAAATCAGATTTGGGTTTAGAGGTCAGTGGGGGAGTTATTCACATTAATTTCATGTAGATGTTGCAGAGTATAGACTGACCTGAAGTGATACATTCTGCAGTGAATAGGCAGTCACTGGGTTTTTTGTGTATATATTGGCATTTTTCACAAGTAACTCAGCTGCAGATTTTCAGATGACTGCTACACAGTAGCAGCCCCCTGAAGCGTGCAAAACTCCCTCAAGTCAATTGGACTTCCTATGTATAACTTTTCATAGGATCAGACAAATGTTTTCAGTCTAGATTGCAACCCCTCTGAAAAATTGACCTTAGTTGTGCCACAGTGTGAATGCCCTGCAGAATTGAGCTTAATATCCAGCAGAAACTTATCTAACATAATTATTTTTCTGCATACATCAGAAAAAGAGGAGTGCTGATCATAAAAATGGTGATGCTGCTTCTCCACCAGCAGGATCTTGCTGGTGTGAAGCATTAATCTGAGACTCAAGTGTTTGTGGATTTGTTTATTTACAGTTTGAACTATTGTGTTCATCAAGAGATGTCCATAAATGTAGCTATGTGAGGTCTGTTACAGAGCTACTGTTTAATTTTCTCAGTACCATTGCAGTGTTAATGTAGGTCCAAGGATATGCAAGCAGTTGGCACTTTGCACTTCTCAGATACTGGATTTTTTTCTGCTTTTGTTGTTACTGTACCATTGCTAGCATTTTTGTTTGAACAATCTCCTTGAATGAAACAGGAAAAAAGGCTTTTTCAGCATTCTTCTTCCCTTTTAATTGTCTTATAATATCTCATTTCCTAACTTCTTTTTTATTATTATTATTTTAATATTTTAAAAATAATTTTAATTATTTTAGCCTTAGCACCTTTCTTTAGCTGCTGCTGATTTTTTTTTTTTCCCCTATTGGTAAGCCATACTTCTTGCCTAGCACTCAGTGCACAACACTGCCAGCTTTGTCCTGACGTATTCTATCTCAGTGCTGGCCAGCTTGGTACAACCACTTACAATATGATGAATAGCATCTGGAGCCTGGCCACACAGCCTACATTCTGGTCTTAGGGCTTTTTAAAGCCATCTATCCTTGCTTGTACAAATAACGCATTCCTGTGTGGCCATAATGAAATTCTTCATTTCTCTTTTCAGTCTTCTGACAGCCTACCTGCCATTTGCCACCATCTTCTTGTGAGACTTTCAAAATTCTTCCCATGAAGTTGTTTTTCAATTGATTTCTCCTTGTGCTGCTCTTACTGCTTCATGACTAATAAATTACACTCAATGGCAGAATCTTTTTCTTTCAATTTTGGAGCCTCCTTATAAATAAACAAGCCTTTTTTCTTAACTTTACAGATTCCTTTCCTGCAACTCTCTCTGTTGCCTTTCTATGTTCTTCTTGACAACATAAACTCCATTTTTATCTGCATTCACATTTATTCTTAGGCAACAGTAACTTCTTGTTAATTTTACAGTTACATTGTCCTGAATTAACTAGATTTGCTTCTGAAGAAGAATACCATTCTTGCAAACACAACAGTAATGCAGCTTTGCCAGTATACGTGGCAAATATGTCATCAAAAGATTGTGGAAATTCAAGAGAAGATACAGAGGAACCAGAGAGGAACAGGTGGAGCCATGATGGTAATGTTGAATTGATAAAATAACACTTTCTCGGTGGAATGAGTGGTTGTGGATACATCAAGAGACCTCTTAAATTCAACAGTTGCACCACCACTGTTGTTATTTGCTACAATTTAGCTCTTATTATTTTGTCTTTTTGACTGACATATCTTTAGAGGTTATTCTGCAAAATATCTCATGGAATATGGACAACAATATAACTGCCTCCAAAAATCAGTTTAAATAGGGAATTAAGCCATAACTGGGAGGACACATTCCTGTGTTGAATATTTTGTTAAAGGCAGTGAGTCTCTTCAATTGAAATAGGCCTTTTGTTACTCCTTTTGCTATTTGTAGAAATGAGAAAAAAAAGAAGACTGAGGACAAGCAATGCTCTTCTCTAGATTTGAATCAGATCTAGTTTAACTACAGCAATTGTCAGTGACTTGCTATATGATACAGAAGGTGAAAAATTCACATCAGAATTATAGTCACCTGTAAATAAGATGTCTGGACATCAGAAGTCTTTATCCAATAGTCAATTACAGAGGTATTAGTACTTGTACAGGGCAACCATGTGTTAATGTTGGTAAGAAGTGTTTTTCTTTAAGAGAGATCTTAAACTGCAAGCTCTCCTACTTGCCTCATGAAAGTCTAATATCCATATACACTTTTAGGAAAAGTAAAGAAAAGTTATCATTTTGTCTCTGAGTGTAATACATTCTCATATTGAAGGAAATCTGCAAGCTGTTGCTGAGTACATAATGGAAGTTATTTCTGCCCACACAGTCAGTGAGTTACCAGCATCCAGGTAGCAGTTACCAGGCACTGCTTTTTTTTCAGAATATATATTATGGGGTAGAAATGTTAATGCTGAGAGACTGTCAGTGGCTCAGGAGACTAAAGACAACTATAAAACTTTTTTTTTCTGCCTCAGGTCAAAATTCTTCTTAAGTAGTGGCCACCAAAGCTCTCATTGTCTAAGAAGCATTTGAGAGCATGTTTCAGAGCAGAGTTTGTGGTCCTAAATCTGCCTATGGATCCACTACACAGAACAGCAACACAACTTGTACTGTGAACAGGCATCCTTGACACTTTCAGAGGTCGAAAGTTGGGAAAGGTGCCAGTACCATTACACCCTCTAACGGCTGCAGCCATCCCTTACAGGGCCCACCTAAGAGACAGCCTAGCATGGTCCAATGTTTGTTTTTACGAACCATAGACTTTCCTCTGGAAATGGTACACAATAACCCTGAAGATGACTAAAGGCACTACAAAACATATTAGAAAGAAATACAACTGTACTGTAAGTATGGATTACAGCCAAAATGATCCGGTCAATGTATTGGAATGGACTGACTCATTGGCAAAAATCCACAATCAAGACAGTCAAGAACAAATTGTATTAAAAAAAATATACATTCACTTATGTTACTAAAAATGGTAGATTGCCAAAAGTGACTAAGAATAATTGCTTCTTTATATTGCCTGTGCAATGGAATTAAATTGGTCTGCTTAGTCACACTTTTTGCTTGGAGCCACTGGGCTGCTTTTCTCTCATGAAAGTCAAAGGGTTTAATACTTTTTATTTTGATATGACAGCATAAGCATTTAGAAAAATAATCAGGAAAAAATGCCTATCTTATTTTCAACACAGTAAAATTAAGTTCAAATGTTTTCACAGACATACAGCTTAATGAAAGGTTTTGCTTGAGAGAATATAGACTTTTGGAACATAAAGCACATCCTTGAGAGAGGTCTGTTAAGTTAGTAAGAACATCATTAAATACTCTGTAAAGGCCTACACATGAAAGCTTTTTAATTGGGTGATAATTGGCTATTCCAATTCTCCCTTAGAAATATCTAGATCAGAATCAAAATTAATGAGAAAGAATCCTTCCTTTATAAAGAATTTAAGTGATTATAAAACTGTTTAGTCCCAGTCTTGAACCTGAAGAGCAAAGAAAAAATATGAAGATGCTAGGTAAAGTTTATGAGACTTGTAGATTCTTTTTTTTTTTTTTGTATCATCCTATTCCCAAATGATATTTTGTTTTGTTTTGTTTTGCTTTTCCTCTATTTTTAGACTGTTCTATTTTCACCATTGAAGTCATAGCTACTGAATTAAGTAGGAAAAGAAAAGGTTTCCAAGTACTGGTTACATCTCAGAATGAATTTGAGAGAAGATAGAGCAGAGGTGTTTGTGATATTTAGTGATGAAAAAAGATAATCTGTCCTTGAACCTTGTCCTCTAAGGATCAGTGCAGAGTCTTTGATTAACTTGTGAAAGATGAATTAGGAATTGGGGGAAGGAGGACAAAGGAAAGAAGAACCCTTAATTACAATCTTAAGCAACTGTGTGCAACCATGATTCAGGATTTTCTTCCTGAATACATCTTATTAAGTTTTAACCATGCACTCAGACACTCCATAACTTGGAGAATTAAGATTGCTTCTAGTTGCTCTCTTTAAACCACGTCTTCAGTTCACAAATGCCATGATGCTGAATTGCTTCTCTCTGATTAGAAGGGTGATATTGGAAATCATGTCTGAAAATGAAGCTAAAAGACAAGAAACACATAGCAGTTACATATTACACTTATTAAAATACTCATTCATGTTTGCATTTCTCTACTCAAAGGCTACAAAAAAATCAGAAATTAAAATGATTTTAAAATAACCTTTGTGATCTAACCCAATATTTTTTTAAGTGATTTTATCCTCACATTAATTTATTATTGTGACACCACACTTCACAGTATAACATATAATAGGAATAAAAATTAATTATAAATGCATATTAATAGTTTGTTCATAATATGTTGATAATGCTTTACTGGTAAAGTTATAAATCAAAAGACATTGGCCAAGGCTAATTTCTTACAGTTGCCCTTGGTACGATCCATTGTTCTAAAAACGGTACGTGTTAAAAATATTTTTGTCCGTGGAAAATATCAGTTCAGCATCTCCACCAGCATTTGGAACCTCTGCCTTTTTTTCGCAGGAGGCGTCCTGACTCCAGAGTTATCACGTTTCTGTCGCAGGACCGTTTCATTCTGCATCCCCAAAAGGCTTCAGCAGTGTTGTAATGAGGCAGAAAGTTTGTGCCGCCGCTTTCTCAGCCGGACCTAGTGCAAACAAAGCGGATATTCATCTCCCAATGCGGCTTCCCCGGGCAGCGCTGGGGTTGCGGGGCTGTGCGTGGGTGCTGCCAGGCACCAGCCCCAGCGTGACACCGCGCCTTCTCCTCCCACGGGTGCGCAGAGCTCCGCCACGGGCACAGTCGCCTCTCTCCACTGTTTATTCTATGAAAGCACCTGGCTTATTTATTCCTTTTTTTTTTTTTTTTTTTTTTTTTAATGTTCTCCTTCCCCTCCCCCCTCCCCCCCCATCCTCCCTCCTACTCCACTGTGTCCCCCTCCCCTCTCTTCCCCCTTCCCCCCGCCCGGTTTAAACAGGGGCCGGATAGGAGGGACAGAAACACTGGGGAGGCAAAGGGCAGCAGGGGTGCGGGGTTTTAGGTCCCCTGAGCCGGCCGGAGACGGGACCCCGGCCCGGCCCGATAGCTGCCCCGCGGCCCCCAGCTTCCCCACCGCCGGCCTGGGGAACGGGCCGGGGGAGGAGGTGTGGATTTTGCCAGTGGAAGCAGGGCAGGCTGGGGGGACTGAAAGGGCAAAACTGTGAAGCAGGGACCCCACAAGTTGTGACTAGTTTTATGACTTCGCCTTCACGCATCGGGAGCTCTATTGATCTGGTCTTCCAGGACAAGTTGGGGGGTGGTGAGGGGGAAAAAAAAAAAAAAAAAAGAAAAATTCTATAACTCTCTCCTTCAGCTCTGCATTTCAAATGCAAATCCGGAGATAGATTGGCTCCCGCCCCACCCCCTAGCCCGGCTCCTGATTTTTATCCAAAGGACTCCATCTGTATATCCTGTCAAGGAGGAGGAGGAGGAGGAGGAGAGGCGGGGGGGAGTGGGGCCGGGCAGGCTGCTGGCTCCCTGGATCCCTTTTCAATAGCCGCCGCTGGGTTTTCGGGAGGTACAGAGTCCCGGCGCCTCCTCCGTGCGCCCTCGGACGGATCTGGCAGCGGCGCGGGCCGCCGAGCCGTGATATCCCCTGCCCAGAGCAGCATCCCCACCTCCTCTGTCTCCTTCCCTCCTTCCCTCCCCCTCCTTCCCTCCCTCCTCTTCCTCCTCCTCCTCCTCCTCCCGCAGCCACGATCCGCACCCAGTCAGAGCTGGGCTTGGCACCGGCACCCACTTCTCCCACCGTGTGCCCAGCGGCTGGCCGTGCCGGGCCGGGCCGGGCCGGGCCGTGCGGCGCCGCGCTGCTCTGCGCCGCGGAGGAGGAGGAGGAGGAGGAGCGGAGCGGCGCTCCTACCTCCGCGGGTGCGGGCGAGTGCGCGGGCGGGCGCGCAGCCCCCATGCCAGGCGGGCGCCCCGCCGCCTGCAGCCCGGCCCCCGCCTGGGAGCATCCCGCCAGCACTTCGCCGCGGAGGCACGGTCGGCCCTTGGGATTAAAATACTCACTGCGCTGAGCAGCCGCGGGAGAGGGGGAGCAGGTAAGTGCCGGCTGCACCTGTGCCTTCCCTCGCTTTCCTCTCTCCCTTCCCCTCCCATGTAGGTAGCGGGGAATCAGAGCAGTTGCAGGAGAAGGCTGTGTGCGGTTCGCCTCCCCCCTGCTCTCCCCCCCCCAGCCCCCCGCGCCCCTAAACCGCTACTCCTCGGCAGCGGGGCTGTGGCTCTGCGGAGGCAGCCGGGCGGTAAGTTTCGTTTTCCCCCAGCTCGGGGGCGGCGGAGCAGGGGCCGGCGGGGCGGCCCGGGCGGCGCGGCTGGGAACGGCCGCGGGAGCACCGGCACCAGGCGTGGCGGGGAAAGCGGGGGAAGTAAGAGCACTAATACTCTACGCGTGTGCGCACCTTCTGAATATTAAGAGAACAATAGCATCTCTCTGACTCTTTGGAGAAGTCTCACAGAGAAGCGGGGAGGTGGGGTGGGGGAAGGGAGGACCACAGACTTCTGCAAGATGTAGGCAGCACTAAGACCTGACTGCCTCAGTCATTTCTGCCACATCAAAGCGGCTGTTTTGATTGATCTCAGAGTCCGGCACTGATGCTCCAGAGCAAAAGATTACCGGGGCCAGGAAATTTCCTGAGTTTTTTTCCCAGAGCTTTCCTCCTTTTCTGTCAAGGATGTTCTAGAGTTTGCAAATGCTGAAATGATGGGAGCTTATTTCTTCGATTAGTATTCGGCTGGTAAGGCTAGCTCTGCAGTGCTTGGCTGTTTGACACTGACCCTTCCCCCCTCCTCCCTGTCCCCCCATCTCTCCACACATCTACACATGGGCACATCCTGCTTTCCTATAATAGGCTGTGTGCACTGGTAGCAAGTGGTCTGTGATCTGGGTCCTCAGATTTCTAGTTGGTAAAGGGAGGGAAAAATATCCCTTTTTGAAATAAGATTTAGCCTTTTTACTCGTGGCCTCAAAAGGTGAGGTAATTCACGTGAGCCAATATTGTGCAAACGATATCTTCCCCAGCAAATTAGGGCATTTAGGGAGGGATGGTAGATGAAGACTAGTGAGGGACTCTGATTCTGGGAGCTGCAATGTTGATACTTGAATCTTTTCCCATTGCAAGGATAAAATCTTGTGGTCTGATAGATAACTTCTCAAGTCAAAGCAGAGACTTGAAAGGGAAACATATACTTTATAATCTCTCCAACGAGACATACTCCCTTGCTGTTTTTCACCTATACCATAGGCGATTGTACAGCTTTGCAGAAAATAAATCATTTTCCCTGGACAAATAAGTAAATACATAAAGGAGACAAACTTAAGAATACCAGTTTCTGAAACAGTCTCTCATTGACAGTGATGTGTGACTTTTCTACACTTACTACATTTACTAATTGTTTCTCTGTTACATTATATGAAGTTTGCAGGAAATTGTCACTGGGGAAAGCTAGATACTTATTCTGTTTCTGACAAAGACAGGTCTACATAACCTCAGGTGATGAGCTATTCAGACGGACAATAGCATGAAAGTTGCATAAGTAAATTAAGTTTGCTTAGAATATAGCTTCTGAAGGTACAACAGGTCAACAGATAAAGATCAGTTGGGAAATGATGCTGATTTGCTCTTAGCAATATCATAAGAGTTTCAAAGATGCAAAAGCGAAGTGAGGATATTTAGAAATAAGATGTCTGTGCCTCATTAGAGCTAGTTCAGTGCAACCAGTGTGTTATCATCTTTGTGGGAAAAAAAAAATAAAAAAGAATAAAAAGCCCACTAAATAAATCCAAAAGAACTATCTAGAGACCAAATGTGACATCCTGTTTAAAGTCCTTGTACACGCTTTTCTAGCTCTCCATCCTGCAACTACCAGGGGATCTAATCTAGACACACATCTTTTTTAGGGTCATGAAGAAAGGCTAAGTAAGATTTAAAAAACAATTGGAGTAAAATCCACAGCAAAGGGAGAAAAGCAAAGGAGCTGGCTCTGAAAACTTTTAATGTTAAGTATGTCAAATATGTTGGGTTTGAGTATTTAATGTAGATGAAAAACTACCTGGAATATTAAGGAAATATCAAAGGTAATCTGAGCTACCACTGCATGTTAGAAGTGTGTATCAGTTAATGTGAATCAAAACACAAACATTAATGATGTTGACTGTTTTCTTGCAAAAATCTATTAAAGATTGCAGTTTTATTCAGAGGGCATTTCAGCGTTATAATGGGAGACTTTATGGTAATTAAAGGCTGATGTAGGTCATTAGAATTGTGCTAAGAGTCAGATGACAGCCTCACAACTCTCTTAAATCTACTTTTATCAATTTAATAGCCAAGCATTCTTATCTTCCCATGTAAAAGGGTAATTGTAAAGAATTTGTATAACTGCAGATCGTCTATGAATTACCTGATGAGAATGGATATAGTATCCATGTAGATTTTTGCCTACACTTTTCATGTATAACTGTGTGCGTGTGCATGTTGTGTCCGTATTTTTATCTTTCTTCAGCAATCAAGGACTTGACTGAACAAAATCATTATTAATGCAAAACATTAGGTTGTTCTACTCTAAGTTAAAGTCCTGCTTTGCTATAAACCTGGCCCTTTCTCAAAGGTATTCAACTCACAGGTTTACTCTAATGTGCAATGAAAATGGAAAATATTTTAAACTTCAAATAGTTTGCAGATGAATGTACTGCTTGGGAGTCAGTTCTAGTGACAGGTTGGCTAGTAAGTTTCTGTCTTTGTTTTTGGCTATTGGCTTCGTTAGCTGATGTGTTCAGCGGTTCTTCAATTAAGGCCTTTCTTGAGTCATACAGTTCCCTTCAGTTTATCATACATATATTTTTTCATGTACATTTTCATGCTACTACTGGGTATTGTTTTCTCATGACAATAAAAATCATTAAATTCTAGCTGAGGAAGGGTGCATAAAATAGATGATGGTTGCTTCAGTTCTTCCCATCAAACCAGGCTTAACTCTAAGCAGTAATGCAGGAGTGCCTCCTCTGGGAATTCAGCGGTTCTGCAAGAAGATCATCCCTAGGTATTATGTGAAGTTCCTCAGATTAAGTGAGGCTGCAGAAATTGAGCTTGTGGAAATTTAAATGTTTAACTTGATTGGTCACAGATATACAAATACTGCGAGCATCTCTTTTCAATAACTGATCAAATTAGCATAATCCTTTCCAGCAACTTAGATCTATAAAATGTGCCATAGCAAGGTAAAAAAACAACAAAGCACTTCCACATGGAGAAAATTATACTAAATAATAATAAAAAAATCTTTCTTTTGTTCATTTTTCTTGGGGAAAAAAAGAATCCTACCAACAACCCAAACAACTTAGCACTCTAGCTACATACAATCTTATGATCAACTGCAGAGAAGTATGAAAGACCAAAATATGTTGCCTGGTTTTCTTTACACATTTTTTAAAGCTGTATCATTTACTGAAGTGTGCCTAGTGTTTTTATATTGTCTCATCAAGTCCTTTCACCTGAGTCAGAGGGTATTGGAGCCAGTTTAGTGTAACAGTACCATATGTTGGGAGTAGTGATAGTTTTTTTCTTGATAACCAGATGCAGGCTGCAGGATGTGCACTACATTTACAGATCTCCCATGTGAATATTTAGGCCAGTTAGTGGCAGGAGGTTGTGGTCTGTAGTTGTAATGTCATCTGGCACAGGGTGTTAATAGGTTTCTTTGTATTGCCTTGACTTGCAGAGCTTTATTTCATGGAAGGGTCCCCACCTCACTTGCTCTAAGGCACCCTTCTTTTTTCCTTTTTTTTTTTTTTCCCTGAAAAAATGATAACCAGACATTGCAATCTACAACATAATTAGACATGTTATCTTCTATAAAACCCTTTGTCTCAAAGATCACAGAATTCCTGTGTCTGTGAAGGAGTGTCCTGTGATAGTTTGGGTGTGTGACATAGAGGAATTACAGGCTTACAGCAAAGGGGAATTTTCTCTGCCATGGAAAGTGACACCCTTTCCAATGGGCATTGTAAAACTGAATGTCAAAACATAAATATTTCAGTGAGGGTAGTTCAGCTGTCAGGAGGCTCACCTGCTGATTCCTCTGTGTTTAAGGGATCATAGTTCAAGATCCAGTGGCAACAGTCACTCTCAGTATTATCTCAAAACGCAGGGTCTTACTGAATGACTAAAGTAGAGAAAAAAAAAAAAACAAAAAAACAAAAAAAACAAACAAGGCATAACTGTGCACTATTGACCAAGCTAAAGTAAGATTTACTAGCAGGTGTTGTCCGGGCTGCACTTCCAGAGGCAGTGACAGTAAATTTTGCAACATTATCAAAAACTGAAGCAATCTGATGAGATAAGAATAAGGGGGAGGGAGAAGGAGGAAAGAGAGGGAAGGCAATAGAGTGGAAGACTCTTCAGTTACACCTTGAATGGATGCACTGATCTGATACCAAGATTTCAAAATAGAGAAATGTAATCCAGTGTGAAGGTGTTTGGTAATGGAAAAGGTTTTGGATTTCCACTACTTCCTGAACAATTTTACATATTAGAAAGACTTTAGGACAATATATGGTGAAGGACAAAATTCCGCGTTGGGTTGAAGAGGTTGACAGGGAAATGATATGGTTCATAGATTATGCTGGCACTGTGACACTGGTAGCAATGTGTGAGTGGAAGTTTGCAGGAATTTGCACTTTGGCTGCTGAGGTTAGGCGGTACAAAGATTATCCCAAGAGACTTCAGCAAACAGAGCTACAGGGCTGGGGAAATCTCAGGAGTGGGGAAAGAGGGCTTCCATGAGGATATCTAGGAGGCCGAAGGCACCTTTTGTCCATATCTGCTGGTGCTCACTGCTACACAAAACCAGCAAGGACTAGTATTGATGTGTTGTTTTAGAAATTATGGAGCCAAGCAAAATATTCAGAGAGATTTTCAGTGGGTGTAAATTACCCTTAATTGCTTGCAGTGAGGGGAACTATTCCTTAAAGCTGAGGATCTTATTCATGATCTGAATGTTTTCAACAAATCAAGATTGTCCCTTGGAGACAGTGCATAATAGTGTCTTTTTGACACTAGCAGATTGTTTTGGCAAAGTAGAGTAGTAACATTTTTCAGATCAGCAGTGTTCACCAGAACACTTCTGCTACTAGACTGTGGCTTAAATATAGTTCAATTCCTATACAGCAGATGGGAGAAAATGTAAGTTTTAAGGTATATATTGAATAAGGAGGTTATTATTTTTTCAAATGTATATTCTTCAGTCCGATGTTTTATGTATCAACCACTTATTTAAGAACATAAACATAGGCAGCATGTTACTGCTCTGGTAAGACATACTACATGTGCAGTCCAGATCACATAACATACTATTTGAATTACACACTGTTTTTTATACTTTATATTTTCATATTTGTGATTGTCAGGACTATATGAAAGTAAATAGGAAATACAAGTTTCGATGTGAAAGGTAGAGCCTAATGCTTTAAATATACCAGCAAATAAATTAATTTTATTTTTAAAGCTTAAATTACATTTTATGGAGGCAAAGCATGAGTGAGGAGACATGATTGCATTTTATTCCTGTTTGGAGAGAGGCATAGTGTTTTGGAGATCCAAAAACAAGATGTAAAGGTGCACTTATGTCCTAGGGTAATTAATGACATCAATTACAAGAGCAAATATTTCTCAGTTCTCTGTATTCTGAGTCCAGTTTGTGCAGAAAGTGATACCACTTTATAAAAGAGCATCTTTAAGCTCAAAATACAAAATGGTTGCAGGTCAGTTTTTCCTTCACTTCACACTCAAGCTTGTAAACACAGATGACAGAGAAGGCACTGGAATCAGAGCACCGCATTCCCTCTCTTGCTATCAGTGTTAGTCATATCCACTGCTGCAAGTGCAATCCCAAACATTGAAGTTATGCCTTGAGCAGGATAAAAAAACCCAACAGCACCTTTTATTTTTCAGTTTTATGAATGCTGTGATGATGCTTATGTGGACTTGTGGACTTCATATTTATGGACTTCATAGAACAGGTTGATGTTGAAGTGCTAGTTATGTTTGGACAGAAATATAGTATTTTTTTTTATTATTTTAAAAAATCCATATAAGCATATATATCTATATTAGTAAGAAAGGTAACAAAATGCAATTTAATAAATAATTATTCCTAAACCAGAAAAGATTTTGAATACCAGACACTTTTACTTCTGCTTTGGGAAGTATCACGCTCAAAAGGCAATGTGCTGAAAGAACTATAAATAAAAACCTTAAAAAAAAAAAAAAAAAAAGGTCTCTAGGAGGAAAAGGAAGACTAATCTTGAAGAAGGGGAGGGAGGGAGGAAAAAGTGTTTCAGAGCAGAAAGTGCTGCCACACTGCTGAATAAAAATAATTGAAATTCTGGAGACTGTGTTGTTTAAGTATTTGAGAATGAGTAAATGACAACATTTTTTTTTTTCCAAGGGGTGTGAGTATTCTGCTTTTCATCAGATTGTGCTGTCTAGCATATGGACTGTTTTTCAGTTGGTATTTTGGGTGCATTTTTCAGTTCTGTGCTGTAGTGTGTGGCTGGGGACCATGGCACTCCATATGGTGGCTTTCATACTTTCCTGCAGGTGTAAAAGAAAGGATATAAGAGAACACTGTTCGAGATAAAGGTTAGAGCAATTCTAGGTTTGAAATGTCTGTTCAGAGCAAGAACAAGACATTTTGAACTGCTTCGTGGAAAGATTCTAACATATTGTAAATGTTTTACTGACATTTCTTAAGAAAATCCATTTCATATTTTTATCTCTGTTAAATAACAATCTGCTGCCTTTTTGAAAAAAAACTGACAGTTTATCAATATCAGATGTCTTTAACCTGATGTAACTTAGACACAGAGAGGGAAAGTAAAGGGTGCCTCTACTACAAACATTTATCTTATTTGAACTGAGCAGTAGGAAGTGAACATATCACCAAGGAAGTACAGCTACCCACCTTGACATTCACGGCAGTGCTCTCAGTAATTATTATGTCATATGGTTATGATTTACCCGAAGGGCCAGATCAAAACTGAGCTATGACTAGTTGGGATTAATAATTTTAAACTATGCTCTGCTAGCGAGGATGACATCTGTGTGTTAATCCCAACGCAAAGAGAATCTTGGTCTGTGTTGGAGACATGTCTGTTACAAACCATAGAACCACATTTTGGAAATTAGAGTCTTTAGATAAGACATTGACTATTCTCTTTGTTTTGCCTGTAGGGAGACGCTGGATTTTCACATATGGAAGCTTTCAAATTGCTGCTGCTTAGCAAACACGCTCAGTGGGTTTGTGGTTTATCCCGCCAGTCTCTAAGCAAAGCCTTTCTGGTGCAGGGCAGTACCACAGAAGGGATTACTATAAAAAGGCCTTAAATACAGTCTGTAATCAGAAGAGCTTTTTATTTGTTTCATGTTTCTGCCCTCTAGGTACCTTTGACAGCACGATGCATAAGCATTCTACAGCTAAAAGAGCCTGACATACTGAAAACAGCAGAGATCGCATTTCACTCAGTTTTAATAGTAGCGGGTAGGGATATAATGATAATCTATCTAGAGCATTTAATGTTTATGTGATTTAATGTCTAGCCTTTTTAGATTAATTATATGTGGAAAGGATGAAATCTTCTTTCTTCCATGGCTTCATAAGTAGCAGAGGCTTAGTCCAAATGAATGCATTGTTATCTGCTTTAATTTCGTTCTCATTTTTACCCTGTGTTTGGCACATTTTAAATTCTTCTCATCTGCCTCATTTCTCACTCAGAGAAAGACAATGCCTATTTCAGAGAGAGCATTTCTTACTTGGGGTTAGTGCAGGTGATTCCCCTGAAAAGCAAAGCTACATTTGGTTCTGACTGACAGAACTTATACTTTTTAAAAAGATTATACTAAGTATAGATTTTTACTTGGCCAGAGAAGGCTCATAGTTGAAAAAGGAAGAAAAAAGACTTGTTTAATTATTGAAGGCTTTGCGGCTTTTTTTTTTTTTTTTTGGTAAATGATTATTTTTTAGTGAGTTCTATCAGCTATGAAATGATCAAGATTTTTAAATAAAAACAGACAAGATGCACAAAAAGAAAAAAACTGACATTAAGACAAGCTTTCATTAAAAACACAAAATCACATTATCCTCTGATCTTTCTGAACATATTTGTGTATAAGTATATAAACTAGTGTAACGTATTTCTTGCTGTGCCTGAAGTTTTCTTTAGGAATGCAGTGAAAATGAGTGCGGAGACTCTGAGGGCTTTTTGGCAGGTCGAGTTCAGATCAAAACAAATCATAACATCTGGTGTACTGTGACTAAGAATCAAACTGTTCTGATTCATCTTATGCTCCCTTATTTTACTTTTCAGTTATATGGAAGAGGGTTAAGCTAGAATATGCCCTTGCCATTAATGTAACTTCCTGCCTGTAGCTGGTTTGTAATTGTATCATGGTAATGGCAAGTAAAGCAGACTGTAGCAGACAGAGGAGGAAAAATCAAACCGAATAACTGTAGAGAACTGCGCTTGCTTTGACTATTTTAAAGAGAAAAAGATTCAGCATTTGCACTAGGGAAACTGGTGTATTAAGAAAACAGTCATGAGAAAACTTTATAGCTATAAATACAAATGTATCAGGAGTAGTAATACCATTCAATGAATGTACTCTAAACTCTGAGGCTTATGTAAACTTGATTGTGTTGATGATGAGAAAGATAATAAATAAATATTTCTGATGTATTATGTGCAATCTGCAATGAATTTGCATTCTTTAAAAAAAAAAACAAAAACAAAACAAAACCAAAAGAAACCCACAACAAAGTTCTGACAACAGTTCTTGTTTGTTTGTTTGTTTGTTTTTTCTGGATAGGTACCTATTGCACCATTTCTTTGGTGAAGGCTATTCAGCAGTAGTGACTTCTTCTGATCGACAACTCCACAAATTATTATCTCTGGACTCCCAGCTGACACCCTGCCGGAAGCTAGAGCTACTGAGACAACTGGAATTGTGCCTGTTCTCATCAAGGTCTTTTCTTTCACGGGAAAAAAAAAAAAAAAAAAAAAAAAAAAAAAAAAGATGAAGTTGGGCAAAGTGGAGTTCTGCCATTTTCTGCAGATACTAGCTCTTTTCCTGTGTCTTTCTGGGATGAATCAAGCAGAACTCTCAAGGTCCAGGTCAAAGCCCTACTTTCAATCAGGGAGGACGAGAACAAAACGCAGCTGGGTGTGGAATCAATTCTTTGTGCTGGAAGAATACATGGGTACAGACCCACTCTATGTAGGAAAGGTAGGGGATTTAAATGAACTTTGGAGAGTGCAGATGCTTGCTTTTTGATGTGTTTATATGGTCCAACCTGAAAATTGTAAATCTGTCAGCATGGTTAACTTAATCCAGGATGGAACAAAGTTTTGTAGTTTGAGAAAGAAAAATGTTTTAACACCTCAAAACAGCAACACATTACATTCCTGATTCCTCTTGTAATTTTCTTTAACAGCTCTACATATTAGCTATGCTTCTTTAAAGGAGTATGGTAATGAAAGTGTTTCACCACCATTGATACAAAGAAAATATTTTATTACTAATATTAGATGTATTTTTTTATGTAAGAATAGAGAAACATAATGATGAATATTCTTTTATAAGAGCTAACAGCTAGTCCCAGAAAATAGTTCCGTGTTATGTTGCTTGCTTCCTAAAGATCATCACTACTGAAGGCAAGAGAGAAAGAATCAGGCATCTGGGGCTGTGACAAGTAAAAAGGAGGGCATGTCTGCATTACTGCTTTGCTTTGACATTGCCTGCCTGACAGATTGGCACCTTGGGGGCCTCACTGCCCTCCATGCATAACACAGCTGTGTGGCTTTACCTTCCCTCTGATGGGCACCAGGCCAATGCAGAGCAAGCCCTTACATCAAGACATCCCAAATGTCTTGTTTCGCGCGCCCATCATCACACGTGAAGCACACTGAGCGCAGCTGTGAATACGGGCCTTAGCTCATTTGCCGTCTTGTGCTGGTGGGTAATACACTTCCTTCAGTGATTATGAAGGAAAAAAAACCCAACCAAACAAGCAAAAAACCCTCTTGTGTTTCTATGTAACGTTTAGGTGTAGTCATCTTACTGAAAGAAAATCCCATTTTTCTATGTAAAATCAGAATCAATAAATAGAGTTTCTCATTAAAATATAGCAAATGCATAGAAAACAAGGGAGTGACAGATTTTGGAAAAATGGCATGCTTACAGAAAAGGAGATGAAGTAATCTGAAATGCACCACTTTAAATACATGAGTGCAATGAATTTCAGCTTACTTAATTTGTCCTACTGAGGCAAAAACCTTGATGTTTGTGTTAACACAGTTAAGCACTTAGAATTTAATCATGACAACTGAATAATCAAGTTAAATGCAGAACTGTTCTCATGATTACAGCTATGGTTGTGTTTAGGTGCTTTCCTAAATTGGGGTTGGTACTTTGCACAATTGAGCCCTTAAAAAAGATGTGCTAGAATCAGAAATATCATCTCTTTTCACAGCAGTCCGGAAAGCTTTCTGTGTAAGTTTTAAGTTATGTATCAGTTTTCATTCTGATGCCATGCGGCTGCTACTTGGCTTTGTGAATTTTGTCTTTTTGGCAAATTTGTTCTCAGATTGGAGATTCTCTTGCACCTCTGGAAAATGGCCTATTTGTCATTCTTGCCCACTGATAAAAAAGGACGTGGGGCGCCCAAATTAGAATTTCTCTCCTGGAAAAGAAGTGTCTTTAAATAATTGACTGAAGACTGGTTTTGATCTGTAGCAACACTTATATTCATTCAATTGCTATATTACGGCTAAAGATGCTGTGGTAGCACTAGAGTGCATGATATTTGTATGTATGTGGTTATTTTTAGCTTTACAGTCTGCTCTTTCCTGTCCTTTACAGGAGTCCTAGCATTCATAAACAGGTATCTTCTGAAAAGCAAATCTTTTCTTCTGAAACTCTCTGTGCCCATCCTGATTTTGTATCAGCAGTATGAATTGTTGGCTCAGGAGCTCACATTAGTACTAGCAATTCATTTTCTAGGAAAAGCAGATAAAAATTTGCACTTGCAAAAGGAAGCCCGTCTTCCTGGAAAGAGAGTCCTTGCTGAGCATCTTATAAGATAAGACGTGCCCAGTTCCTAACCTTCTCACTGGAGAGGCTTTCTATTGTGTGTTTCCTGAGGTGCAATCATGACCCAAGCTGCATTCCCACACAGGGAAACAAGAAGGTGAAGAAGTGATTTTCCTTCTGTATGTTAACATATTATGTGTAGCATCACTCTGAAGTGAGCAGCAGTCACCTTCCTCCCCCTCTCCTCCCCTTAAAAATATTTCTGTTCTTGTTTCAAATCCTTTGCAGACAGGTAGAGACTGAGAAGACTGAGATTTGAATAGGAAGATTGGGGTTTTGTTTTGTTTGTTTTTTCATTTCTGTGGGTTTTTTTGTTTGTTTTTGTTTTGTTTGTTTGTTTGTGTTGTTTCCCCACCCACACCACACACACCCCGCACCCCCCACCCCCCCCTTGGTGAAGAATCTACAGTAAGCAAAGAGCTGGCATAACTCACTTCTCTCATCAAGTGAAGTGAAAACAGCAACCAGACTCTGGCTTGTGTTCTGAAGAGTTCTCTGCTCCTGGGGAGGTCAGTTCTGCACTGCCTTACATTCAGGATGCTTTGCATGGTGCCGATCTAACGGTACATCCAGGAATGAGCAACCTTCCTCTAGATTTTAAGGGCTGTGAGATAAAAATGTTTCAGAAACACTCAGGCAAATGCAACTGCAATAGGGAATATTTTCTCTGCACCACTATTCAATTTTACAAAGCCCTAGGCAATTCTGTTTGGAAGTCAACATTCAATGAATGTTAGGGTTACATGGCAAATCGTTCAAGAGCCATGAAATACCAATGTTAATTCCATGTTCAGCATTAACTCTGTCCTCCTGGGTATGTGCATTCTGACACTTTAATTACATGATCATGCAGGGTAGAATACTATTATTTTTAAATAATGTAACAGGACTTCACCTCAGTAAGATGAGTCATTCAACTAAAATATTTTTTCAGTGTTTTCATGTTTGTTTAACAAGATTTCAGATTCATACCTGAGGTATATTGCAGGCTTTCTTCCTGCATCCTTAACATCCATTTATTGGCAGAATGTTTTTTGGTTGGTTGGTACTTTTTTAATATTTATTTTCTTAAGGTGGCAGGGACTTGTTTCTTGCATCACTTTAGACAAACCTCTGGTCCATCAGTTTTACACTAATAGGAGTCAGAGGTGACTGAGGAGGGGTTTTTGTGTTTTTTTTTTTTTTTTTGTTTTGTTTTGTTTTGTTTTGTTTTAATGTAAGTCTCTCCTTTGGTATGATTTTTAATCATCTTGGATTTAATCCTGAGCAATTCTGAGTGCCTCTTGGGAGGTGCTTAAAATGTAATCAGATTGTGGACTGAACCATATACAATTTCTTTCTGTCTGTCAGCACAGCATATATGTTCACTTAAAGGGCTGAAGCATTTAACTATTTAGCCCATTTACCTGTTTGGGTAGGCACTGTTATCTTCCAGGCATGCCATGTAGGAGGTGAGGCAGTTAACTATGATGTTAATTTAGCTAGAAGCATAGGTGGTTTCTGTTTTCCAGAAAATGTTCCAGAAAACATATTAATGTTCTGTGAAATGTCTTACTCTACTTTCCATATAAATTACTGTAGTGCAATATATTTCGACATAAAAATAATAGTATAGATCAGTTTTAAATGATTCAATGCATAAACACATAAAATTAGGAAAAAATGTATGCTATTATGTTGAATATGTGAAAAGCTGTGTAGAATCTTGTAATTAAAGTCTATATGAGTAAACTGACAAAAAGGGCTGCAGTTAAAGTAGAACTTCAAAATTTTGTTGATATTTATTTTGGCTTTGTTACGTAACTATCAGGCATCTAGGGTTTGTTTTGGGTTGTGTTTTTTGTTTGTTTGTTTGTTTTGTTTGTGTTTTTTGTTGTTGTTGTTGGTTTTTTTGGTTTATTTTTTATTTCATTTTGCATGTTCTGCTGCAAGAGTGTCAGTCTCCTCAAAAGCATTATAATAACACAAAGTCTCAGACACTAATCCTTTCATTTTTTTATAAAAAAAAAAATAAAAAAATCAAAAGAAACCATAAATAAACCTTAAGAAGTGAAACAAGGCTGTGAACTCCATGTGAGATGCTGATAGATGACTAGCTTCACTGTTTTCTTTTGGGTCCAAACCAAAACTCCTTTTTCAACAGCTCTAAATTTAGGTATAGTTAAAGACAGGGACAGCTTTAAGATCTTTACTGAGTTCAACTCTTTTTTTTTTTTTTTTTTTTTTTCTTCCTTCCCTGAAACCTCACAAAGATATTAAGAACTTAAAATAAAAGAGAAAAAGACATAGGCTTGATTGAACGCAAACCCAGGAAGTTGATATTTAACTTTGAGAGGTTAACTGATGCTTCTCAAAAAATAATACTTGGAACTTGTTAGGTGTCTTGCATGTAGTTTTTATTTATTGTTTATGGGGAAGGAAAGCTTAAATCCTAATTTTCATTTTCTACATGGTAAAATAAAGAAAAAAATGTTAAGAGTGGACTAAGAACATGTAGTTTGTTAGAGCTCACATTGTCATTGCCTTGCAATTCCATTTTACCTGCCTCTTTGTTTTTCTTCTATTTTAAGATAAAAAGGCTTGTTGGATTCAATTTTCACACATGGACCTAAGTGTATCAAAGCTAATATGTGCATTATTATTGTATGGAATAGTACCACATCAGTAAAAGCACACAAAATAACTATAAAAATAGAGTGAACCTAAACGTTGCCTAGAAAATTGGTGCATTTAAGAGAATTTACAGATTTGCACCAAGGCATGGTGGGGAAAGGGCTTTTCAAGCAGCAAAATAACAAGAAGCGTATGTCATTGTCGGCACAGAGAGTGGGTTGTTTTTTCCAGCCTCATCATTTTGGAGGGAAGGAGCCCATACAGGGGACAATACTTTTTTTTTGTGTGTTTTTTGTGTTTTTCAAAGGTGTTGGTGAATGTGTCAGTAGGTTGACAGAATTATTCACAGACAATATTTATCTGTGGTGTGACCTTATATCAAACCAAACATACGTAGTCAGAAGTAGGACTCTTTTTCTAGATCATAGCCTGACACTTTCAGATGTGACTGATGGCATTTTGACTTGGATAATCATTGTCTTTGCTAAAATACTTCATGGCAGTGAATACTGTGGAAGCGC